CCTTGGTGAAAAGATGAACAAGTCTTCTGATTCTGTTCCCGTAATTGCTATATTTACTATCTAACTGAACTCCGTGTCGTGTTCAAAACAAACGATCATTGTCGGCACCATAGTCTCTAAGGTCCAGAGTTGGTCTTTTCAATCTCATCGAGGGATTCCGATGAGGAAGCCTAGGATACTGTGAAGGCAGGTATTTCTTCACTTCCAGGATGGATTTGAAATTTAGAAGACCAGACTTCATCGATTTCCATTTCGAGGCTGATCTTTTGGGTGGGGGTCTCGTTGCACTCCTGAGGGAAGCCGACTCTTCACGAGCTGAGGCTTGCTTGTTCTGTTCTCTTATGGTGGAATATTTCTCGACGATGGCCTCTCTGCTTGTGACCTGTTGAACCTCTTCCCACAGAGGTTTAAATGCACTCGTTGTTCCGATTTCTGCTCTGGTCATCTCCTGATACCGTTTCCAAGTAGAATAATCACGTGAAAAGCCAAAAATGTGCACGACCAAAGTTATCGATATATCAAAACAGCATTTTTAAACTGTTACTTGGATTTCGACGTGAGTATCAAATAGTAGGATACATCTAACAGAGGTGTGCTCATTTTTTTCTATGTATTTGGATTATAATAATAATAATAATAATAATAATAATAATAATAATATAGGTTGTGTCAGATTGGATTGGGTGTGAGTTCCAATCTAAAAACCGGATCAAATTTCAAGTTGGATGGAATCTCTCCTAAACTCGGGTTGAGTTGAGGGCAGATGGATGGCTTCAATTTTTGAGTCGGGTTCAAGTGAGTTAAAACATAATCTAGCTCGACTTGTTACTATCCCTAGTTTTATCCTCGTATTCATGTCCACATATGCACGAATGTCATCTTTAAATAAAAACTCGAACAATTTGATTGAATTTAACTTGAATTTTATAAATTCGATTCAAATTTTAAAAAAATAAAATTTGAGTTATAAAATAAGACTCATTAAATCGAATAACTCAAAAAAATATTATTATATATTTTAGATTTTTTATTAAAATTTATTTTCTCTCTTTAAAATTTTACAAATTTGAGTTTACTCGCCTTAAGTTTAAATTTGTTCCATTAACATAAATTCTTATGTCCCTCCTTAATCACGGTCATGGATGGAGACGGCCGACTCCGGAGGGGTCGGGCATTATTATCAACGGGAATCCTTCTCTTAACTTTAATTTTAAAAACTTAGGCAAAGAGAATAAACGGATGAGTAACATTAGACCACAATTTTAAAAACTTTAACACCTCAACTCAAATTTTATAAATCCGACTTAAAAAATTTCAGATAAAATTTGAATTATAAAATAAAACTTTGTCAACTCGAATATTTCAAAAAAATTTGACCCGACCGAACGTTCACCCTTAGACGAAGCATAATCAAAATGGTAAAACAACAAAGCACCATAAAATATCAAACGGAGAGTTCAATGAAAGCATATTACAAACCTTAGGAAATATCTTAACCAGCTCCCTTATTATATAGAAAAACAATCAAGAAAGTGTGCATACGACCTCGCAGCAATTAGAAAGATTCAACTTGGAACAAATAACCAGTGAATTACTAAAATCGAGGCATGTTCTGCTAAAGAAAACGAGTAATTGAAGGTGAAAGTAGGACCGACCAAGCGACTTCCCCATACAAAAACGACCAGAGAAGTGAAACAGTACCGTGAAGATTAGCGACTTCAGGCTTGTTTCTCTTCCTCGTGTTTGGGAGCTTCTTTGATCTCGTCAGTCCCATCATCCTAAAATAGATAAAATAACATATTAGTAGTTAAAAGTATAAGGGTAAAGTATACAAATGATCCCTCGATTATAGAATATTATTTTATTAAATCCATTGACTATTAAAAGTTACAAAATGATCACCCAACCATTCATTATGTTATAAACTCTCATTTTTCGTTAAAAATGTCAATATTATGAGCTAAACGTTAATAATAATGACTGTGATATGATAAAATATGATCCAAAAATCTCAAACGATTATCATATCTCAGTCATCATGTTAACATCAAACTTAGACAACCGTTAATTTTCTAACAGAAAAGACGGGTTTAGAGTATAATGAATAGTCGAGTGATCATTTTGTAAATTTTAATAGTTGAAGGACTTAAGAAAGTAACATTCTATAGTCAAAGGATTATTTTATAACTTTTAATAGTCAAGAGACTTAATAATAAAATAATAAACTATAATCGGGGACCATTTATGTATTTTACCCAAAAATAATTACAAAACAGGGTTTATAAAAGGCAGAACATAAAGGTCAAAAGGAGAGAGAAATGTGTGGGGTCAGACCTGCATATCTGAGGTCCACAAAGTGAGGTTATCACGGAGAAGCTGCATGATTAAAGTGCTGTCCTTGTATGAATCCTCTCCAAGAGTATCCAGCTCCGCGATGGCTTCATCAAAAGCCTGTGAAAAGAAACAAAAGATGTCGACTAATAGAACTTGAATACAAGTAATTTGGCACTCCAAAGGAAGAACCAAAAGAGGATTTGTAACACTAATCAAAACGGACCACAAAACCTCACCGACATTTTAGAATAAGATGAATATAGAGATTAAGGCTTTGATTGGTAGGAAGGATGGAAAATTTGTTACTCAACTATATAGTTAAGATTCATAACCACTTTCTTACTTTGTAGCTTAACGAATAGATTAAAAGATTTCCATCCTTCATACCAAGCAGAGCCTAAACTAAAATTCAGAAGTCCCATTATCCTACCTGTTTTGCAAGAGTGCAAGCGCGATCAGGAGAGTTCAAGATCTCATAGTAGAAGACGGAAAAGTTCAAAGCCAATCCTAATCGGATAGGATGGGTTGGGGACAGCTCGGCAGTCGCAATGTCCTACAAAGAATACAGAACAAAAGTATGCAGATAACATTACAAGGAACCCAGATTATGGACAAAACACAAGTCACAATCACTTTGGCAGAGGGAAACATCTATTCAAATGTAAAACTGTGCAAGTGCAAATAATAATAATGTCTTCAGATCCAAATCGATTGCAAACTTTAAAGAAAGGAGAATAGCAGTCAAAAGGTCTACCGTCTACATAAACAGAAATTGCATCAATTTGTGACCTGAACAAAAAAGGCTAACTAAAGTGAAGGAGCTAATAGTATTATTTCCCTGTAATAATTTAGTTAACACAAGCCACCAAAATGATTTTGAAATTTAGATCGTTGGGGGCTAACTAAAGGGCATAACAATTATTATATTTGCTTTAACAAGAAATTCAGCTATGCAGATTAGACATGAGCGATGCGTGATGGGATTAAATTTATATAGTGTTTTTTATGCTTCTTCCTCGTAGATTTAAATTTCTTTTGATGTTTTAAATTGTGACCTTCGTTGATTTTATACGACCTTTCCAGTACAACACCAAGAAGAATTTTAATTAATTTGGACATTTAAGATACTCATCATATATTAATCAAACCCTAGAAATAAAGCAAATCAAAGGAGAGAAATGCACAAGATCGAAAAGAAAATGATGAAATAACCACAAACCTGAGCAGATTTATAGGCAGCGAGCGTGTACTCTGCAGCCACTTTCCGGTCATCGCCAGTCTTGAACTCAGCCAAGTACCTATGGTAATCTCCCTTCATCTTCAGGTAAAATACCTTGGAATCACCGGTCCCGGCGGCCGGAACGAGGTTCTCCTCGAGGAGCTTCAGGATTCCGGCGCAAATCTCGCACAATTCCGCCTCGATCTTGGCCCTGTAGTCACGGATGACGGAAACGTGATCGGTGTTGCCGCGTCCTTCCTCCTTCTGCTCGATAGAAGAAACGATCCGCCAGGAGGCACGACGAGCGCCGATCACGTTCTTGTAGGCGACGGAGAGGAGGTTCCGCTCCTCGACTGTGAGTTCGTCGGGGGCGGGGACGGCGGAGACGACGTTCTCCATGAACTTGACCATCTCCTCGTAGCGCTCGGCTTGCTCGGCGAGTTTCGCCAGGTAGACGCTCTCGTCACGTGCGGATGGGGTGGCCATGATTTTCTTGGTTCAGAGGTTTTGGTTGGATAAGGAAATTGAAATGATTTGAGCGATTCTTTCAGTTGTGGAGAAATGAGTGTTGATGTAACCGAAGGGGATTTATTGGAATTTTAAGGTAAAAAAGCGTAAAATATACCATAGGTCCTTAAAATATACATAAATAATTTTGGATACCACGCTTTCAAAATTTTAAAAAACTATTCGTTAAATTGTATTTTTCTCAATAATATTACAATTATCATCGGGTAAAGTACACAAACAGTCCCTCAACTATAGGCTACTATTTTATTAGTCTATTGACTATTAAAAGTTATAAAATGTTACTCTAATTATAGAGTATTATTTTTTTGAATCTCTTAATTATTAAAAGTTACAAAATGATCCTTCAACTTTTAATAGTTTAAAGATTTAATAAAATAATATCTTATAGTCGAAAAACTATTTGTGTACTTTTCCTTTATCATTTATATAACTTTAATAAATTTAATGATTAAAATAATTATTTAACCATAATATAGTAGCTTCTAATATACTTTAATATCATGAAGAAGTTAATAATATATAATTTAGAACGGGTTAATTTTATCCGACTTCCCTAAATCATGACCCATATTTCAAATAGGTCCTTAAGCTTTAAAATGTTAGGAAAAAAAATACTTTTTTATATATAAAAAAAAATATGGCACTGCCTTCTCTCATGACATGTTAGATTCAATGCTTAAACTAATATGTAGACTGAAAAAAATGATCTGATCAAATATAACACTAATACTTTAGAACTTAATTAGAGCATTTCGAAATTTTGGGGATAATTTAAAATTTAGAAGGCAAGGTCAGTAAAGCTCCAAAAATCCAGAGGTTGGTACCGCCATCGACGTTACCAGTGAGAGTTTAGCAAATAGAATGTTCGAGCGATCTGCCGCTTCGAAGTCTTCCGTTCCGGCTTAGATTGCTTTCGAAGTTCTGGTACACGACGGAGTGTCGTCTGAACATCTTGTAGTGTTATACGCCGACTGGTTTGCCTAGTATCCTAGCTGAAACAAGCCCTGCAGTCATTGCAGCTCCAAATAAAGCATGCAATCTCACACTGTAATATTTTGCCATGAAGATCTTCCCTTTGTCCTGCAACAAATAATTACAATCACCTTTGAGGTAATCTTCGTTATCGACATCGAGATCGAGTTGACGTGCAAGTTTACAGCTTACCTCGTGGTTCTCTTTGACAAAGTTAACTACCAGTTTCCCTATAGGTAAGGTCAGGGCACAAAGAACCTGGTGAAATCGAAGACAAACACGACGGTTGCATTAATCATATTGATGAACCATGAACTATTTTTAGCATCAGATAGATTAATTGCATTTCCTTCAACCGAGTTTAACTTTTTACTTACAATGCAAGTTATTGGAAGGGTTCTGAATAGACCGAGAACAAATAAAAGAGAATAGAGTGCGAAGACCGCTCCTTTGACAACCATTGAACCTCTCTCAGTGCCCATCTTTACCTGCAATTGTAGTAGTAAAAAAATTATTCCTTTTCTGCCTCTGCGATGAGGAAAGGAGTACGACAGTTGATTGAGTGTACCCACCAAAGGTGACATTTTCCCGACGGCTATATCTTCTTCAACCTGACATAAACAACATTCATGTCATTCATATAAAACCTAAGGTGAAAATGTGAATACTCTAACATAGAAGAGTTGAAAAGAGCGAGAAATATTAACCTGATGGAAATGGCTACAAAACAGAATAAGGCTAGTTGTCAAACCTACGAGTAGTGATGATGAAAGCACCGTGCGTGTCAAGGGGAGGAAGATTGTCCCGCTGCCAAGAATACCCGAAATTAATGTATTGAAGGAATAAAAAACTGAAATCTAGAAATTCTGCACTAGTTTCGGGTCAGCAACCTTGTGCTGCCAAGCAACAGGTAGAAAGCAGTGGTAGCAAACGGGCCAAAAGCTGCAAAGCACAAAGGCTCTCCCAATCCTTGGTAACTTAATCGGAATGGTGGGCACTGCAATGGATTCCAAAGCTAAGTATGCATTAGAATCACATGAATTTTACGGTATCTGGATAGAAGTGATCGTTGAAAAAACATTACTCCTACTGTAGATAAATGACATGTCATGCCTGATACACTCATCATGCATACCCATCACATGATAAAAATAGTTGCAAATTGTTTGTATCAATGATTCCAATTAGATTCACTGTACCTGATAAGCATAACCACAAAAGATTGCAAAAGCGAGTAGGATCAATGAACGCATGCTTCCTGCATCTACAGATACCCAAGACAGCCCGATAAAGCCAATGGCAAGCGACAAGTAGGCAGCAATAAGGGGTTCTGAGCGGCTTTCCCGAGTACAATACAGAATAGTGTCTTTTTCATCAGATGGCTGGAAAAGCTAGTGGAGATACAACAGAAGAAACAAACATTTGCAATAAGCAAAGAATAAAGTTACCTGCCAACCAAATTTACTACCGATTCCTTTTTGTTCTTGTCTGCTCCGGTATCAAAATCGTAGACATCATTGCTGCACATGCACAAAACATAAATATTCTAATTAGCAGCCTAAAGATTGCTCCGGTAACTAGTTTGTAACCTCCGTAACTCACCTTAGATTGAGCCAAGTAATGATAAGAACTGAAGATACCAAGAGCACGATATAGCGCCTAGCTGAAAACAAGCCTGTCTGCAAATAAGCAGCTGCACCACCTACCTGCTCAAAATTATAAACAAATAATGCACAAAAAGTTATTGCAAAGATTGAACAGACGCACATTAGTGAATTATCGAACATTCTTTTATCCCGTAGAAGGAAAAGATCTGTTTGAGATTGCACTAGAACTAAGGGGTCAAGCCGATTCTGCATCTAGACCATTATCCAATATCATCAATCATAGTTTTACTATTAGCAAATCCATACCTTGTCCTACATGATATGTAGCTGTTTCTATTAGTTACAGAATAGCGCCCAATTGCTTTAAACACGACAAAGTATCAAAGGTATGACCTCGGTGTATATTAGAAGTCTATGTAGAACTAACAGATGGATTATCCACAGAAAAACAATTTCTTTATGTCAAAACTTCCATGAGTCAAAATAACTCACAGTCAAAGGAACCAGAGCCACCGAGTAAATCGGCAACTTAATCGCCCTCCATATCAAGGTTGCTTTCAAGACATCATTGTGCTCTTGGCGGGTGCCATCTGAAATGTCTGATGTAATGTTGGGAACTATATGTTGTTGGTGGTGCAGGCACCTGGTCTTCACTCTTCCGATTCGGGAACAAGTTCGACCATTGAAATTGAAATGCAATGAACATCTTGAAGTTTTTGGGAAACATGATCCTCCACAAGACCTGAGGGAAAAATCTAATTCCAGACTAAATCGAAATCGAGAGACTCAGACAATTCGAACCAACAAGAAAGATGACTTTATGAACAATATCGCCAGGGATGGACCGAGGGGTGGAGCACGAGTACTTCCTATATCGATGATCTAATTTTACATATCCTAAAATTTTATAATTTCGTATTCTATCAAAATTTTTAATATATCTTTCTAAGTTCGAATCTTCTTACATAAAATCTTGTCTGAATATGGCATCATTATAATTGAAAACAAAAACCCACCTGGAAATGTGACAATGCTTGGTGAAGTATTCACGGCGTATCGCTCCACCTGACGCCAGGCACGAGGAGGCAGGCGTAGCCGTCGTCAATGGCGGCAACATATCTCGATGACCAAGGGAATACAGTTAGCTATCTCATCAGCAGGGATACAGGAAACTAACAATGGAATTCAAAAAGCTTGAGGAAAAAAAGAAAGAAGACGAACACACCAGTGACTTAGGAGTTCATTTTTGGTAGTGTTGCTTCGATTTTCTGGGTATGGCTTGAAAAATCAACAGAAAACCGACACCATCTTTGCTCAGAATCTTATCTATTAAAATAGGTAAAAATCCCTCTCAAGGCCTCTTAGTTTTAAAATTTGACAAATGTGTCCTTCAAAATAGGAAGAGCAATACCGACGTGTCGATTTTAAAGAGAGCACTTAACCCTTTCAGTTTTATATAATATAAATTAATATAATAATAAATTTAGTTTCCGAGTTTGCGTTAAAGTTCTGTAAATACTCAAATTAAATCGACTCGACGAATTATACTTGAGTTTCTTAACGAGTCGAAATTAACTAATTGATATACAACTTGAAGAACTCGCGAGTAAATTAATTTTTAAAATTAATTTATTAATAAAATAATATTTATATGTTATTTTTCTTTTAAAAAATACAACATAAAGTTTTTATGTACTTGAAATTCATATTCGAGTATGAACTGAACTTGAGTTCGAACCAGGGGCGGACCTCCATGGAGCCCGGGGTATCCCGGGCAACCCCTCATCCAGGGGTGGACCTCCATGGTGCCCGGGGTATCCCAAGCAACCCCTCCACAAGTACCACCTCTAATCCAAGTGTCACCCCTCAAAAGTGCCACCCCTGGGGCTCTTGCAACGCCTGACGAAGGCTCCTGGGTCCGCCTCTGGTTCGAACTTCAATCGAGTTAAGTCTGCGAATATTTCGAATTCAAGTTTTTTCGAAACTCAGCTTAACCGGATACCATAGAGTAACGGTTGCCAGAGGAAGATCGATCCATCGGAGCTTAACCGGCTACGCCTGCCCCGGTGAGCTCCTGGTAATAATGGGTCCTTACGGTTGTGGGAAGTCCACACTTCTTGATACCTTAGCAAGCAAAATTCCTTAAATCACGTATGTTCCATGAAGTTCAATCAAGTAACTCTCTCATGGTCTCTTTTCTCATTCTTAACATTCGAAACCGAGACTTTATTTAAAAGATATCAAACTCTTTACTATATTTATAAATGTTCGTGAAATATCTTATATGATTTTCTCCTTTAACAAGGATGTTGAGCTAGGGTATGCAAACGGGTTGGTCAATAGAAGCTCATTGTTTTCTCTCAATAGATCTAAAATGGATCGATCGAGAGGCACTATAATTTGTGTTCGATGTGGGATTATGGTGTCTGTTTGGTGGTGGAGCATTGGAGAAAAACAGCAGACAGTCTACGTTCTTCACACAGTGCCATGTCCTTCTAAAACATCTTTCATTAACATGTCTCGAGATCTTGACTACTATTGGATGCGTCTAGGCATCTATATTGCAGCATTAGCTGTTGCCCTTGGTACTGTGTTTAGCCACATCGGGATGGACTATGGATCGATTCGGGTTCGTAAATGAACACATATGAATTTGATTCCAACACTTGTAATCATCAGATTGATTTCAACAATTTTGAGCCTTTGTTTCTGCAGGCTAGAGGTTCACTGATGGCGTTTGTGCATGTCAACGTTTCTAACTTTCATGGCCATTGATGGGTTTCCTTCTTTTGTAGAGGAAATGAAGGTTCGTGATTGTTTTCGAATGTACCGTCGGTCCATCAAATATTAATTTAATAAATAAAAATAAAATATTTAAAATTTATAGAAATTTGAAGTTTTTAGGGTTCCATGTACTGATGTTTAGTTTAATTTGTTCCATTTATTCAAAGGTTAATTTTATTAAAAATTTTGTTGAACCAAAAGCACCCTAGGGGGCGTTTGGATAGAGGAATGTGAGATTCCCATGGGAATGAAATCCACATTCCCCGTTTGGTTAGCCGGGAATCTCATTCCTGGTAATGTAAGATTACCAATAGTGGATTTTTAGGGGTATATTACCGGAAATGTCATTACCTCCATTCCCTTAGGTATTGTTGGATTACCGGCGTTTTGGACTAAAATATCCTTAAAAAAATTCTTAAAAATATCATTATTTTACCATTGAATAATAAAAATTCTACGAAGGTTAAATTATAAATTTATCCTTAAACTATTTTAGATTTACAAAAAAAATCTATAATTAAAATTTTATATGAAGTTCAGGGGTTAAAATAAAATTTTACCCTTTCATTAAACCTTTTTATATTTTTAATTTTGTAAAAAATATTATATAAATTTTATGATTTAAATTTTTAAAGAAAATATATAAATATTTTCCAACTTGTTAAAAAATAAATATATAATAAGGACAATTTGGTCAAATATACATTATAATAATCTTTTATTCATTTAACCAAACACGGTAATCTTACATTCCTACTAAACCAACCAAACACAAAATACAACATTCCCAGTAATCCTATTCTCTGGTAATCTTACATTCTCACTGATAATCTTACATTCCGTGAACCAAACGCACCTTTCTTCCTCAAGAATTTCCCTTTTCTCTAAATAGGATTAAGATTAGATTTAGGATTTGTCAAAAAAACTCAAGATCCAAAGTTATAAGCATAACGAACATACAAAAACTAATAAATATTTATAACACTTCCTCTCGAATGTCCATTAAAGATAATATATTTCGTTAAAATTTTATTAAGAAAAATGCTTTTAAATAAAACATGTGTACATCTTTAATACACAAAACATGTAATCTTACTAAAAGTTATATAACTAAATTTAACGGGGGAAATTAGATTTTTTTTTTGAATAAGGGAAAATTAGATTAACAAAAAAAAAAGGTAAAACACATTTATTGACATTTGTCCTTGCAACATCATATAACATTTTTGAATTTTCAAAAGAGTCGAAAATTATAATAAATAACAATAAAACTAGTGGATGAAAGGCCATGGGTTAGTCCTTGTAAATGCTATTAATGCTGTCTGAAATTATAATAAATAACAATAAAACTAGTGGAGGGAAGGCCATGGGTTAGATAAGTAGTCCTTGTGAATGCTATAAATGCCAAGTATAAATGCTATTAATGCGGTCGTATATTATCATCAGAATATATGGTTCGCGAGTCTATGACTACGTGTTCTATGCTAAGTGTAGGGATGGCAACGAGCCGGGTTCGGGCTGGGTATTGGTCCCTTCATTTTCGTCTCCGTTTAAAAAATTAGTATCCGTCCCCGTTTAAAAAATCGTGGGGATTTAAACGGGGATCCCCGTCGGGTAATCGGGGAAAACCGCGGGGAAACGGGTATCCCCGTTTAGCATAAACGATTATTTAAACGGGTATTGGGCCGGGTATTGGGTCGGTATTGGGCCGGAATCGGGCCGGGTATATATATATATTTAAATTAAATATATAAATATATATTGTTTATTTAAATTAAATTTAATAATATTATATATATATATAAATAATTATTTTTAATATTTATCGGGTCGGGTAATCGGGTAATCGGGGCGGGGATTACCAAACCCGTCCCCGTCCCCATTTAAAATAAATGCATTTTTCCCTTCCCCGTCCCCGTCCCCGTTTATCATCCCCGTCCCCGACCCGTTTAATTTGGTTTTCGGTTTTCCCCGTCGAGTTCGGGTTTTTTTGCCATCCCTAGCTAAGTGTAGTATAACTGTTTGTGACTATGTTGCACGTTTAGTGCATGTGAATGCACCATAGGTGCCTTGTGAATGTACATGTAATGTAGAACACAAAAACACTGTAACTATGAATCCCAAATACATAAATGTATCGGGTAACTATGATGTTCATAAATGTACCTCTGTGTGATCGATTAATAACACTCTACCTCTTGGCATGCCAATTGTAACACTAGCTCTCAAGTTTCATACATTGGGTTTTGTTTGAAAATCATATACTATTTTGCATATAAAATAACCATACATACATTCAAATATAATGAAATTAAAATAAATGTTATATTGTGCAGTTCATACTCAAAGTTATCATATGCTATGAAATAAAATAAATTAATAAAATATATGTTCAAATACTATTTTAAAAACATTTTCTATAAAAAACGATTGAGGTTGACTCATCGCAAGTCTTCGTCATATTATCTACAATAAAAAAGTTTAGTTGCACTCGCTTGTTGCCTCACTTATAGCTCGAATTGTCAAGTTCGAATCGCTATCCAATTCGTTCTTCTCTTTTCGTTTACTTAAACTTCGATTACGATCGCGATCTTTCAAAATTCAATTATTCGACAAATAAATTTCAAACATATGTTAGTATCTAACTAACATATTAAACAAATATTCAAATAAAACGTCACAGACACAATAAATGTATATTCGACAATATTTCTCCAACTTAATTAATTTCTATCCCAACTTTTGCAAAATACCCTTCTTAGTTCTTGAAATTAATATTCCATAACCAAAATTCACTTATCTTTCATAATTTCACAACTAACCCACAACTACACATTTATTTAAATTTAATCCCTATAATTCGAACATCTCACCCATTGGTTCCTATCCATCACTTTTATTACATGTTAGTCATCATTTCCAACTTCAAATAATATTTTCAAATCAAATACGCCAATCTTGTATTTTTGCTATTTCATCACCAACTTTTCCTAAGCTTCCAACTTAATTCTTCATCATTCACCATCTTCCAAAAATAGTCCAATTCACTATTTTAACACTAATTTCTAGCATAATACTTCAATTTCCCAATAATTACCCAATAATCTTTCAACTTCATAAAACTTACAAAAAGGTCCCTTAAGCTTAACATTACTCTAAATTGATCCAAAACTTAATTCCAATCATATTAAATCATTTCTATATCGATTCTAAGCATTAAAGGAATTTTTACAAAATTTTTCCTACTTATTTCCACCTAGGCCTAATCTTTTAAGCATTTCTCCTAATGGTCTCCAACTTTGTTTCAAGCTCAATTTCATCACCTACAAATCAATTTCATCCATTCCCAATCATTCCTAACCATTTTCATAACAAAAAAAATTAATATTTCTCATAAAACCCATACATGAC